AAATTGTCGCAAGTGACTGTATTCTTCGGAATAAAGTAATTCTGCGTAATCAGCGAGTGATGTTGGTTTTTCCGGCAGACTGTTTTTCTTCCAGGTGTACATGCTGCTTTGAACGCTTTTAAATGAAACACCCAACGCTGCATTTCCATGACTACAAATAAAAAAAATTTATTTTTCAATTGTATATTAGATGTAATAAACACTTGAAACAATTTGAAACAAAATAAAAGTAATTTTTTTTGAAAAAAAAAAAAAATTCTACAGAATTGTTACACTGGTTTACAGTGAAATTGCCAATTGAACAGAATATTTTTTTTTCGAATAGTAGGTGTTTGTTGAGTAAGAAAATCATAGTTTTAATTTTTTTCCCTCGTGCAGTTTTTCTGTAGCTTCAAATTTTGCATTTTCGAGGTGCGACGCCACTTAAACTTACCTGTAGGAAAATTAGCTTGTCAAAATATAATAAATGAGGTATCATTGGAAAGGTTATTAAATTACCTTTCGATCCATAGGTCACAGAATAAAATTCAACAAAAATTGAGAGAGTTACAGTCGATTAAAGATGAAATTTCATGCCAATTTTGATGATTTTTAGACCTTTGAGTAACTTCTACTATTTTTTTCTACATCAAACAGGAAAGAATGTTTAGGTTTTAATTTTTTTATTGATAGACTATATCATTACACAAATTTTGAGTCCTTGTGGACCTCGATTGGATTAAAAATGACAATTCTACACTAAATTTAGTGAACGAAACTACATTCTTCATTTTTAGTATCCCTTAAACATTTGCACCAAAAATTCAAGTAATAAAATTTGGTTAAGCCCTAAAGTGACTAAAATCACTAATCAAGGGTTTCTGATGTCGTAGATTTTGAATCCAATGTTAGAATTTCAAATTTCAAAATGGCGGATCCAATATGGCGGGCAAGTTTTCAAAAATCGATGAAATTCGTCTCAAATTCGTTACTCGGGGGTTTTCGGGGTCGCTGATTACGAACCCGATGTCAGATTTCAATAATTAAAAATGGCGGATCCAATAGGTGCGAATTCGATGGATTTTAAAAAACTCGTTCACCATTATGAGTCCATCATTTTTAATTTTCGAAATCTGACATCAGATTCGTAATCAGCGATTCCGAAAACTCCCGAGTAACGAATTTGAGACGAATTTCATCGATTTTTGAAAACTTGTCCGCCATATTGGATCCGCCATTTTGAAATTTGAAATTCTAACATTGGATTCAAAATCTACGACTTCAGAAACTCTTGATTAGTGATTTCAGTAACTTTAACGCTTAACCAAATTTTATTACTTGAATTTTTGGTGCAAATGTTTAAGGGATACTAAAAATGAAGAATGTAGTTTCGTTCACTAAATTTAGTGTAGAATTGTCATTTTTAATCCAATCGAGGTCCACAAGGACTCAATATTTGTGTAATGATATAGTCTATCAATAAAAAAATTAAAACCTAAACATTCTTTCCTGTTTGATGTAGAAAAAAATAATAGAAGTTACTCAAAGGTCTAAAAATCATCAAAATTGGCATGAAATTTCATCTTTAATCGACTGTAACTCTCTCAATTTTTGTTGAATTTTATTCTGTGACCTATGGATCGAAAGGTAATTTAACAACCTTTCCAATGATATCTCATTTATTATATTTTGACAAGCTAATTTTCCTACAGGTAAGTTCAAGTGGCGTCGCACCTCGAAAATGCAAAATTTGAAGCTACAGAAAAACTGAACGAGGGAAAAAAATTAAAACTATGATTTTCTTACTCAACAAACACCTACTATTCGAAAAAAAAATGTTTTGTTCGGTTGGCAAAAAAAAGTTTTTAATTTGTAAATCTGTGTTAGTTAAAAGTATGAAAAATTGAAATTTTTAAAGATTTTAATTTGAAATCTATTCAAAACTTAATTATTTCTTCTAAAAATTTACTATATAATGCTTTTAATATTTAATTATTATCTAAAATTTTGGTATAACCGAAATCAATTTTTCAATCAAATTTTATTAGAAAATTTTATGAGAATTATATTATTTAGTTACAAAAATAAAAATAATTTCTTGAATAGTAGAATGTTTCTTAAAATTGAATTTTTATAAAGAATTTTATTAACAACTTTTAAATATAAAATTTATTCCTATTCAATGTGACAAAATTTCTAATTAATTTGAAATTTAATTTTCGAAACATTTTAATTACAATTTTTAAAAAGTCTAATTTCTTTATAATTTCTAAATTTTATTTTTCAAAATTTCAATACTGTTTGTTAAAATAATATTTAAATATTTATTTATTTTTCAACAGGAATTAAAATTTAAAAAATAATTCCAATGTAAAACTTTTTCAAAATTTAACTAAGTTAAGAGCGTAAATTTGCTGCAGATACTTCAGAACTTAAAAAAAATATTAATGCTTAAAAATTTTCGAAAAAATTATTTTGAGCAATAATTAATACAATTATTGTCCATAAAGATACAGATTTAAAATTAAATTACATTCTCTCTAAATTTGATTTGGTACAAATGTTTACTAATTTGAATTAGTGACTGACATTTTGCTTTTCAATTAGTAAATTCTACTAATAAATATTTATTTTTATTAATTTATTAGTAAAATTTGCTAATTTAAAAGCAAAAAACTAGTTTGTCAGAATTAAAATTATAATGTGAAACATTAATTCGTATCATAAATATAAATTGTCATTTTACTAAAATCAATCAATATTATTTAATAAATTATTTAGAGATTTGCAAAAATTTTTATTTGGTGAAACATTTTGCATTTCTAAAGGGGAAAAGGGGAATGCTGCTATGATGCTTGTGGGCATTTCTACAAAAAAGCGGACATTTTTGTTCGCTTGTATCGCCCCTGTAATCAAAATTTATAATTTGATAATAAATTCTTTTACTTACACTTTATTATTTTTTCTTTGAACTGGGTTGTAAAAGTGTCCCTCGTAGGTGTATTCAAAGTCGTTTCTCCTTCCACCTCCTCTTCTTCTTCTTCCTGGTAAATCCCCCATCGATGTTTTTTTCGTGCAAGCGGCGTCGTTTTCAGTTGAGTAAAAGAACAGGAAATTGGAATCAACCGGAAACATTAAAAATGCTTGGGGGTGTTAAGGTAATTCTCCAATAGCAATTTTTGTATCGACGCAAAAATTAGTATTGAAGAATTGCCTTAACACCCCCAGAAAAGAAGCATTTTTAATATTTTCGATTAAGTATATATGAAAATTAGTATTGCAAAGGTCTTTAATTAATTAATTAATTAATTAGTCTTTAAAGGCCAAAGTAGAATAGAATCGGAACTGCAATCGTTATCGTAAGGTTACGGTTATACATGACTTTTGGAAAAACCATTCTTGTTTTCCTTTCTTCTATGACAGAAGCATAAGTTTGTCTCACTCTACATTCTCTATTTTTGCAAAATGATTGCAAAATGATCAATGATGAAATTTCATGAAGATTTTGATGATTTTTAGACACTTGAGTAACTTCTACTTTTTTTCCACGTCAAACAGTAAAAAAATATTTAGGTTTTAATTTCTTTATTGATATACTATATTTATCATTAAAAAAATTTTGAGCCCTTGTCGACCTCGATTGGATAATGGAGGTGTCAACTATCGATAATCGATAGTCGACGTATTCTGCTCACATGGGATCGCATCCTTATTGACTGCCCTACTGAAAATCCCTGTACAAGATCATGTACCCGAACACGCACATTCTCATGTGCAGGATCACGGATCCGTTCCTGTACAAGTTCTTGTGTATGATCAAGTGGCGGGAATTGGAACAGTGAAAACGTACATGAACTCGCACATGATCATGCACGAAAATTTTATTCGCACAAGAACTTGTACAAGTTCATGTACATAACCAAAAATTATTGAATTTTAAGGCACAGGAAATTGTGTGTGATCATGGACAAAATTTCTTCTTGTGAGAGAACGTGTGCAAGAACAGGCACATGTTCTTGTATAAATTAACGTGTAGTTTCTGCACTACATTCTTTCTAGTACATTTTCACGTGCAGGATCATGTGTGTAGTTTCGAAAAAGTAAAATAACCCTATAGCTGACCACATACAAGATCATGCATTATAATTTAGGGTCAACATTTAAAACGAAAAGTGAACTCGTACATGAACGTGTGCGAGTTTATCCTCAAGCAATTTTCCGGATTTTTCTAGTATATGAACCTATACAGTTTCTTGCACTTGATCTTATGTAATGAATTTTCCGAAAACAATTTCATGTACATGAACCCGAGCACTATAATATTAAGAATAAGAGATCTCGTGCAGGAACTGTTACAGGAACTTGTACAAGATCTTTTAAGTGTGATTTTGCAGGAAAACTCTAGGAAAGGAATATGCACAAGATCCTAAATATGTTTCTACACTGGATCTTGCATAATATCCAGTGCAGTAACATGTTTCCCAGGTGAAAATGATTCGTACAAAATTCGTAAGGGACTCTGTCCGTAATATCTACACAAAATTTCTTTGGAAAAAGGGGCGAAATTTTTCAATTCCGCATGTAATTGAAGCCCAAAAACTTTTTTCAAAAATTTTAGATTTCGATTAAAGTTTTAGAAATTTTGCTTGAAATTTGTTAGTATTTTAGACGAATATTGTACAAAATTCGTTCAGAAAAGTATAATTAAATTTTTTTAAATTGTACGTGAACAATAATGTACAAAATTACTATCAAATCTAGAGCACAAATATAACTATATAAACTATAAGTGGTCGAAAAAAATTTGGGTAACAATTATGTACATAATTCCTATCAAATTACGAACGAACTGTTTTAAAGTTTTCACGAATTACTATTGATTAACCCGAATTCTGTACGATTTGTGCGAAAATTGATCTAAACATTTTTACCTGGGTTGTAATCGTTCTGCATAATTTCTTAGAAATAATCAGAACATTATTATAAGTTATTATAAGTATATATGTAATGCTTGAACATAATTTTTTAACTCTTAATTTTTAAGATCACAATATATCACAATATATTAACTTAAATTATATCAGTCTCGACGAATACAATAAAATTATAAATATATTATAAATATATTAAAACAAAATTACATAAACATATTTTTATCAAGAAAATGAATTACAAAAACGATTTATCAAAATGGGAGATCTCCAAAAGAGTATTAAATATATATTAATGGTATTAAATTAAAAAAAAAATAAAGTCACTTGAAGTCGGTTTTACCGAAAACGGTTAATTTTCTCCTTCATTTGCATCGATCGTAGCAGGACCTGAAACATTTGAAGGAAATTATTAAGTTTAATGTAAAAGATGAAGAAGTACACTTCAATCTTGCTATAACCAGGTAATAAATTCTAACTACTACGGGCTAAACAACTTCATGTATATTCGCACCACCTACTTTTTGTAAACACGTGTTTTGCATTTTGACATATGTGTTGTAATCTCTAGTATGCCTAACAGCAAAAAATATGTTATTTTTTGCATTTAAATAATAATTTTCTATCGCCGAAAAAAACTCGATTTTTAATTTCCACAGAACAGAAAAAAGTAGTTAAAAGAGAAAAATGTTAGTTAACCCTCCATCCGTCGCATGGTGAGAATTTCCTTCACCTAGTTTCTTTTTTTATTTATAACTTTTAAAATACAAAAAATTATAATTTCATATTCTCATTACCTTTCACAACACTCTTCTTCTTTACATTAAAACAATTTTTGTGTTTTTTTATATTTTAATTTTTTTGTTATTGAATTTGAAAGCAGCAAATTTCGAGGATTTTTGACGCGAAGTGAGGGAACTTCTCACCATGCGACTGACTGCGTATACTCGATTTCATTTGTCATTAATTTTTTATTTAAATAATTAACAGAAAATAAAAGTTAATTTTACTGCCAATAGGTTGTTTAGAAATTCTTATGAACATTAAAAAAAAATTTGGCATTTTAGAACAAGTTTGCACTAATTTATGAGGGTGAGAATTTTTCTCACCTGCGACGGATCGCGTTACAAAAAAAGGTGCGACGCATGGAGGGTTAAAACAATCTAATTAAAGTGAAATCTCGATAAATCGAATTTCAAGGGGAACGACAAAAAATTCGAGTTATTGAGCTTTTAAATTAACGAGGATTAGACCACTAATGGACGAATTCCTTTCAAAATTTGGAAAATTTTGATACGTCTTGCTTTACTAGAATTAGACTTTTAGAACTAAAAGTAAATAAAATTTGTCGTATCATATTAAGAAACAATTATTTTATTCTTATAATAATTATGGGGTTACGCCACCCTGAACGCTTTAAAATCAAGATTCGCCGTAGAGAATCGCCGCCACGTAAAAAGCAAAAATCGCGATAATATATTCTCGAAATATCAGCTGTTTTTCGGTAAAATCGAATAACTCGAGTAAATCTTAACCGATTTGCCTCATTATTTTTTCGTTGGATAAAGAATAAAAAAAAAGAATTCTGTTAAGTTTATTCAATATTTTATATAGTTTTATAGAATTTAGGCTAGGAAAACCGGAAAAATAGCAATTTTTTGAGATTTAGACAAACCTGGAGCATAAACTCCTAAATAGATTTCTGAAATAGTCTAGAATATTATTAATTTGGTTAAAATCTCGATATACATTTCAGGAATTTTTAATTTACTTTGTATTTTTTAAAAAATTTTGATTTTTCTTAAAAAAATTGAATTTTTTGACATTTAGACAAACGCAGAGAGGAAACTTCTAAACGGATATGTAAAGTATTTTAGAATGTTATTGATTGGGTTGAAATCTATATATATATATTGCAGGAAATTTTAATTCACTTAGTATTTTTTGAAAAATCTTGATTTTTCTCAAAAAAATTGAATTTTTTGACATTTAGACAAACGCAGAGACTAAACTTCTAAACGGTTATGCGAAATATTCTAGAATATTATTGATTGGGTTAAAATCTCGATATATATTCTAGGAATTTTTAATGCACTCCATATTTTTAAAAAATTTTGATTTTTCTAAAAAAAATTAAATTTTTTGACATGTAGACGAACGCAAAGATTAAAATTCTAAATGGATATGTAAAATATTCTAGAATGTTATTCATTGGGTTAAAATCTCTATATATATTGCATACAATTTCAATACATTAAGTATTTTTTTAAAAATTTTAGTTTTCCTTAAAAAAATTTGATTTTCCGACATTTATACAAACGTAGAGACTAAAAACTATACTTAACAGATTTGTAAAATATTTTGAAATATTATTATGGATTGAAAGCTAGAAATTTGTTTTAAAAACTTTAATACATTATTTTCTAATTTTTAATTTATGTTTAAAAAAATTTTTTAGTTAAATCAAAACATCAATTTTCTCCTGTATCCTTTTTTCATTTTTTTATTATGTAAAAATTTCTGTAAAGAATCATATCTTAAATAAATTATTATTTAAAACTTAATTGTCTTTTATTTTAAATTATTAGATCAAAGACCACAATATTTTTACAATTAATTATTTCATTTATTAAAAAGTTGAGATGACGCAAAAAGTTTTAAAATCCCCAAGAAAAATCTTTGATGCAAAAAATTCCGCCAAGTAAAAGATTTTGTGACTGTCTAAAGAATTAGTGAAATAAAAGATTATCAAGTAAAATTTATAATTAAAATTTTAATAATGTTTGATTTTAAATATTTTCTCTCCTACACAACTCGAAGTACATATTGCAGTTGAAAAAAACAACCCGGGCTTAGCTGTTGTTATTCTACATTGCGGCTTATTACATTTCCGAATTAAGTCAATGTCAATTTAAAAATCTTGGCATCAATACTTTCATTAATTACAAGTTAGAAACATTATTGACGCCAAGATTTTTAAATTGCTGAAATAGAAATTTTTTATTATGACGAGTAATTAGATTTCGTTTTTTGTGAATGTTAATTATGAAGTTAAATTTTATTTGTTACAATTCAAAATGCTATGAAGAACATTGACTTAATTCGGAAATGTAATAAGCCGCAATGTAGAATAACAACAGCTAATCCCGGGTTGTTTTTTTCAACTGCAATATGTACTTCGAGTTGTGTAGGAGAGAAAATATTTAAAATCAAACATTATTAAAATTTTAATTATAAATTTTACTTGCTAAACTTTTATTTCACTAATTGTTTGGACAGTCACAAAATCTTTTACTTGGCGGAATTTTTTGCATCAAAGATGTTTTTGTTGGGATTAGATGGTATTTCAAAAATTAATTTTGTCAAAACTATTAAAAATACAACTTTTTGATAACTGTAGTTTAAAAATACATCCCAATGGGAAACTGCCAAGAGTCACCATTGGCGTATTAATGGCCCAATATTGGGAGCCATTGATTTTCTATTGGTATATTATTGGCACCCATTAATGGACCAATAGTGGTAAAGTAATGGGCTGACTACGTCGTTGCCAATAATTGGCAGCCATCATTGGCACATTAATGGCTGCCAATAAAACGCCAATAATAAAAATTTTTTAAATTAACAAAAATTATTTATTAAAATTATAATTATTTAATTATAAAAATTAAAAATTGTTTATTAATTTTTTTTTAATTATTATATTTGTAATAGAAAAAAGTCATCACAGTAATTAGTGAGATCTTTTCTCTTTCAAAAAAATTGCCTCACATCCTGTGCAAAAATAGGAGAGGCAGGGGGCAGAATTATTATATTCTACGAATGGACCTGAGGAGTTCAGCCTTTATATACACGGGCTGGAGTAACTTCGATGCGAGTAGAACTGATGTTTGCTCGCCCTATGCGGCACGGTTGGAACTAACTTCCAAGTACAACGCGCACACGTGTTCACGCATGCGGGAAGATTTGAATAATTTTCAATTATTTGCCTATTAATTCCAAATCTATTCTATTCTAATAAAATAAATAATAAAATAAAAAGTATAAATAAAATAAATAATAAATTATTAATATCTACTATTTTGAATTGTCTTATAAAATAAAACAGAATTTCATTTCTTTTCAAGTATTTCTATAATCCAAAAGAAAAAAAATGCTGAGTATTCTTTGAAAATAATATTCAAACTTGTATATTTATAGAAATCTATTATTATTCATAAATTGTGATTTATAAATAGAAATAATGTCCACTTTTTATTTATTAAAAATAATAGATAGAATTTTGTTAAAAATCGAAATTAAAAAATAGTTTTACAATTTATTTTTTTAACTCACATTCTAAAAAATAATTGGGATTTTTTGTAATAAAAGAATTTGATAACTTTTTTAATTTTAAAATTAATTTTGAATTTAATAATATTTTCAAATTTGAAATTTAATGAATTTGTCAATTTCTTAAATTTTGAAATTTATTAAATTAGACAATTTTGAAATTCATTCAATTTTTTTTACTCAAAACGAAAATTCAACAAATATCGTATAATTTAATACTAATAAAAACATTTTGACAAAAAAAGAATGAACATTATTGACAAATTTCGAAAAACAGCGATATTTTATCAATTTTATACAAAATTAGTTGAATTTTCATTTTGAATAAAAAAAATTGAATGAATTTGAAAATTTACTAATTTAATAAATATCAAAATTACTTTTTCCAACAAAATTGTTTTTAGAAATTTGTCAATTACTTTCATTGTTTATATGTAAAAATATTTTTAGTAGTATTAAATAATACGATATTTGTTGAATTTTCGTTTTTATTAAAAAAAAATTAAATGAATTTCAAAATTGAAAAAATTGGCTAATTTAATAAATTAAGAAATTGACAAATTCATTAAATTTCAAATTTGAAAATATTATTTATTATAAATTATTTTTAATAAATAAAAAGTGGACATTATTTCTATTTATAAATTACAATTTATGAATAATAATAGATTTTTATAAATATACAAGTTTGAATATTATTTTCAAAGAATACTCAGCATTTTTTTTCTTTTGGATTATAGAAATACTTGAAAAGAAATGAAATTCTGTTTTATTTTATAAGACAATTCAAAATAGTAGATATTAATAATTTATTATTTATTTTATTTATACTTTTTATTTTATTATTTATTTTATTAGAATAGAATAGATTTGGAATTAATAGGCAAATAATTGAAAATTATTCAAATCTTCCCGCATGCGTGAACACGTGTGCGCGTTGTACTTGGAAGTTAGTTCCAACCGTGCCGCATAGGGCGAGCAAACATCAGTTCTACTCGCATCGAAGTTACTCCAGCCCGTGTATATAAAGGCTGAACTCCTCAGGTCCATTCGTAGAATATAATAATTCTGCCCCCTGCCTCTCCTATTTTTGCACAGGATGTGAGTCAATTTTTTTGAAAGAGAAAAGATCTCACTAATTACTGTGATGACTTTTTTCTATTACAAATATAATAATTAAAAAAAAAATTAATAAACAATTTTTAATTTTTATAATTAAATAATTATAATTTTAATAAATATTTTTTGTTAATTTAAAAAATTTTTATTATTGGCGTTTTATTGGCAGCCATTAATGTGCCAATGATGGCTGCCAATTATTGGCAACGACGTAGTCAGCCCATTACTTTACCACTATTGGTCCATTAATGGGTGCCATTAATGGCATGCCTGGCTCCCATTATTGGGCCATTAATGCGCCAATGGTTTTTTTCCCATTGGGATGTATTTAACTTGAAAAAAAAATTTAGAAAATTTAAAATATATTCAAAAATGGCAGTTACACTACCGTCCGTGAGTATCAGGACGCCCCTTTTTTCATGAGTGGAAAAATGTTTAAAACGTAGAAAATAAGAATGACAAAAATTTTTCGTATTTTTTTTCCTGAAAGCTAATGAAATTATGAAAAGCTTGACACCTGATCGAAGAATTTTCATTGATTATTCTGCCAGATACAGAAAAAATACTGGATTTTGCATGCTTTTCGTAATTTTTTAATTTCTCGAAAACTAATTAACTTTTATTAGCGCTCTTGGTCTTGTTTTAATCAGCTCTATTTAATGTAGAATCTAAATTATTAACTGGCATTGTGAAATAAATTTTTCTAAAAACATTTGAAACTGTGAAAGTCGGATGAAAAAATTTTGAAAAACAGATTGACAAAAAAAAAATTTTTTTAAATTAAATAATTAAGTAATTAAAAAGCTTTTTTTAATTTTAGTATATCTATTAAATAAACGTATTTTGCATTGACCTTTTTGACACTTTAATATTTATGATAATTTTTTGAATTTTTTTAATCCTACTTTTACGGTTTCAAATTATTTTGGAAAAATATATTTCACAATACCAGTTAATAATTTAGATTCTACATTAAATACAGATTACAACAAGACCAAGCGCGCTAATAAAAGTTAATTAGTTTTCGAGAAATTAATAAATTACGAAAAGCATGCAAAATCCAGTATTTTTCTGTATCTGGCAGAATAATCAACGAAAATTCTTCGATCAGTTGTCAGCCTCTTCATAATTTCATTAGCTTTCAAGAAAAAAATACGACAAACTGTTGTCATTCTTATTTTCTACGTTTTAAGCATTTTTCCACTCATGAAAAAGGGGCATCCTGATACTCACGGACGGTAGTGTATCTTTCTTTAAAGAAAAAATGAAAATAAGCATTTAAATAAACTATTAATTAATGAAAACTGCATAATTCGACGTGTCAATCTTAACTTCTGCATATAAGGACTTAGAGAGTTGTAATTCATTACACATACTTATTTTTACGTGTAGTTTACGGAAAAAATATAGTGAACCTGATTGGGGGTCATATTTACGAACTAGAAAGGAATGAAATTTAATTTTTTCAAAAAAATGTCAAAAAATGACCCTGTCCGCATACTGAAATTCTACATATCGTCACTCATTGGGCTAAAATTTAGTACAAATTTTCAATTGTACATTTAGGGAAAATTTTATTGAATCTGATTGGGTGTCATATTTACGAACTTTCTTAATTCTTTGTATGGGCGTATTCCTGGCAAAATTTTTTTTTTTAACTTTTTTGGTTAAAAATTCGCTGAGTTACGGAATTACAATGTTTAGAACGCCAAAAACCTCATTTCGAGAAAAACGGAATTGAAGATTTCTATGCAACTAATAGTTGTATCTCTGATTCTTCTTGGAAGTTAATCAGATAAGAATTGTTTTCAGTTCAGGACACCTTGAAGATAAAAAACCAACAGGCTTTAAATTTTTAAAACCACCCCCCTCTCATCTCTTAATTTTGAAAATACGAAAAATCGACAATATGGGTCCTTTTCTAAAAAGGACAGTTTTTCTATTAAAAAAACATTTTTTTTACAAGATTAATGATTAGGTAAAATTTTATTGTGTCATTTGAATAAGAAGAATAGATATTAAACTTATTTAACAATTTTTGACAGTCTCTATTATAAAAAAATTGACGCAATATCCAAATTTTCAATTCGACAATTACAAAAAAAGACTCTAACATCAATATATCTGGTTCTTCTGGGAAGTTATTCAGATAAGAATTGTTTACAGTCCAGGACACCTTAGAGATGAAAAATCAAGAGGTTTTAAATTTTTCTACACCTCTATTTTTAAAATACGGATTTTTTTGCAAATGACCGACAAAATGGACCCTTTTCTATTTTCTAAAGAACCAATAAAATCAAACAGTTAAATTATCGATAAATTAATGAAAACCGCATGATTCGACTTGTCAAAACATGTAGATTGATAATAAAAAAAAATCAAGATTTTTTTTAATCTCGAAAATTAGAACCGAGAATAATGTCCCTTCTCATGTGTACGTCCACATATTACTTTCAATCAATCTTATTTGTTTCCCATACATCTTTGTATAAAAAACGAGTTTAATTTTGGTGTACGGAACCCTCGATTATAGTGCGAGTGTAACTCGCACTTGTCCGATTTCTCTATTGTTCATAAGATATTATAAAAATATTTAAAACTTGATTACCATTTTGACGATTGGCAATTTCTCGCAGTCTTCGGAGTTCACGAATTGGAATTTTATCGGCATTCAGATCTGTTATTTTCTGCGATAAATGTTTCCTACTAAAGGAAATAATATCTCCACGATAAACAGGGCCGTCTGTCTTCTTGATTTTTATAAATCTATTATGAACAACATCTGCAATGAAATTTTAGAAATTATTAATTAACCATAATTAAAGTAACTAAAATTGAGATTTTGCAATTTTTTTAAAACAAGCTTTGCCCTAAAATGTATAGAACGTTTGCGTTATTAATTTACAACTAAAATGTTATGAAACCATTTTGTAGAAATTAAAAAAAATTTTCAAGGATATTCAAAAGTAAGAATGAAAAGAATTTCCTTACATTTTCCGGTTCTCCAGGTACTTTAATAATTAAAATAATTTAAAACTAATACAGGGTTGACCCAAAAATTTAGTTTTGTTTTTCCCTGATTTCCAGACAAAATTTTCATTTTTTTCCTAGCCTAAAGAATTTTCTGATTCACTGTAAAAATTATTAGATACTAGCTCCTCCGATGGCCGCAAGCGGCCGTCTACGGTGCTAGTTTTTATATGTCCATTGTCCAAGTCCATTATTTTATTAATAATAATATTAATTATAATACAGACATTATAATATTCAAATTTTTTCAGTTAATAATTTGCTTATTTATATTTGAAATGTTGACGATTTTTTAACAATGCAAAATAAGATTTATTATAAGTTACTATTATTTTAATAGAAAAATAAATAATTTATTAAATAATTGAATGTTTCTAAAGATTGAATTCTCATAAAGAATTTTATCAACAAATTTTTAAATAATTGAATCTCCAAAACTTCTAATAAAATTCATTCAAAATTGAAATTTTCTAAAATTTTAAATTGAAACCATTTGAAGTTTATCTATTTATAAAAATTTCAAATGCAATTCATTTAAAATTTAATTAATTTAGAGATATTTAATTGAAATTATTTATTAAATACTTTCTAAGTAATAATTTTATAATAGTTCTTTAAGAATTAAGTTATTGAAAAAAATTATTATTAGAAATAGAAAAAAATTGAAGATTTTGCATTAGAATTCGTGGTAATATTTGATAGTTTATGAGGCAAACCAAAAATACACCAAAATTCACAATTTTCTTATGAGTTCTAAAAATTCAATTGAGGCCTTGGATCAAATAACTCGCCCGACGCTCGGAGGAACGCGCAACTGCCACACAGTGAGCAGTGAGCGCCTCTGGGCCACTCACTGCTACCCGACTGGCATTAACGCGTGTCTCCGAGCGTCGGGCGAGTTATTGGATCCAAGGCCGTCTCAATTTTTCCCTGACCAATTCTACTTTCTCAGACTTTTCCCTGAATTCCCTGACCTTTGGAAACCCTGTAATAATTACTTTTAAATTAATTTAAATATAGACATTCAATGTTGGAGCAATATTAAAGAAATGTTTTGCTAATTTTGGGTTATTAAATAAATTTTGTGCATACCATAAAGAGCATCAAGTTTTCTGGGGGAGCAAATGCTCCTTACTTGCCCTGGGTGTCTGGCACCAGCTTTGAGATCCAAGCATTTATTTTTTAAATCGTTCCCCCATATAGCTATTGCGGTATTTCGAACCAACACAGATGGCTTTTTTGTTCTCTCCAACTCGTGCCATACAGCTTCATTAAAAATTACAGCTTCATTTATTCGAACCTGCAAGTTTAAAATTATAAACTTTTCTTTGAAAAATGTAACGTATTTTATGACTTTATTTGATTTTATTTGTATTAAAAAAATATTATAATTTTATTAGAAAAAATTATACGATTAAATAGATTAAATTAATTAATCGATTTATTTATCATATAAAAAATCTATGTAATAGAATTATTAAAATTTTTAGTCAATTATTTATTTAATTGAATTATTATTTTTTTCTATACTTTCTGAATTAAAAAAAATGACTGGTGACTGTCTGTAGGATGTCTACCAAACTATGATTTCGAAATTAACGGATTTTCTGGACTAAAAATAAAATTTTTCTGGATTTATTTTTTAAAATATCAATAACTATACTATTAATTTATTAATACTATAGACACTTTTTAAAGTCAGTTTTACAATTTTCGAAAGTGTGATTAATTGATAAAATAAATTAATAAAAACGACGAATTCGCAATTTATATTCTTTGAAAAATGTAGAAAGTAAAAGAATTTTTTTTATAGAATTTGAAAGAAATATACTGACTATTTGTAGATGATTTTAGTATAGATTTAAAAAGTGGAATTTGTACTTCATATTGGAAAACTATCAAATATAACAAAAAATTTCACAACCCGAGTGTATATAATTGTTTTTCTTAAAAATTTGTTGAAGAATATAAGACTAAAATACAAATTTTCTATAAATTTTAACCAATTAGTGAAATTTTTAAAAAGTTTGCGGATATTTTTGTAAATTCCTGTCAAATTCCTGGTTTTTCCGAAATTCCCACGCTAGACATCCTGTGTCTTTAATTTAACATATTTAATATTTAACTTAACTTACAGTATTATTTATTTTTTCAAAATTGAAATTATTAGCAACATCGATTCTTTGTTCGATTCTCTGTTGTTGAATTGCTCTCTGTTCTTCAACTAATTCCGATTCTTCAACTAATTCTTGTTCTTGCATTAATTCCGGTTCTTGAACTTCCCTCGGTTGTTGAATTTCTCTCATTTCTTGAATTTTTCTTAGTTCATCCTCTTCATTTTCAACTTCATTTTTTTTGTCTTCGTTAATATTATTACTCACATTGTCGGGTTCTGCCACAAAGTTTTCTCTGTTATCAAGAAGTGCCTGCTTCTTTGAAGAAACTTGTGAAAGTTTTACTTGCAAGACCTAAAAATTTAATAAAATATTTCTTAATCTTTATAAAATTTGCAAGGTGTAGAAAAGCATGGACTTATTTATAATTTTAAAGTTAAGAATTTGTGAAAGTGTAATTTTAAGAGAAATTATGGCAGAAATGAAGGATAAATATATATGTACACCTACAAGTAAAAAAAAACTATTTGTCTTTATTTTAAGAAACTATTTGAAATATTAGAAACACTTTTACTTTACTTTCTTAATAATAATATTAAATTATTGTTTAAAATTACGTTTACTTTGCTAGGATAAAATTTAAATTGATTTTTTTAAAGGTTTATAAAGTCTTCCACATTTTCAATTAATATGTTGATAGTTTTACATTAAAAAATTAAAATTTGTAACAATAAAATGTAGAAATATAAAAATAAGATAATTCTTTAAAAAAAATTTGTATATACTTATCAGTTAACTGTGGATATTTAATAATTCTTGTGATTTATGTATGAGTTTCGCAAAATGTTCTATAAGTTCAGTTCTATAATAATCTTAAATATTTAATTTCTAAATGATTTAAAACATGATAAGAAAACAGAGAAAAGCATTATTTAAGTATCCGTTACTTAAAATTAAAAAACAATATTTTGTTTTTTCATAACGCAGTAATTACAGAAATTGAGTACGACGACTAACTAATACATAACTTAAAATGTTCAAAACAAATCGTAATTTAAGTCAAGCGCACAGTTAACGATAATTAAATCAACCAGTTTCCCTCCTTGTCCAAAATTAACATATTTGCATGTTTTAAATAAAAAAATATGAGGTTACATTCCTATTGCAATTCAATAATATGAGAATTGATAACAATTATTAAAGGTGAGCTTTTGTTTTTCTTTCTTTAGAAATATTGTTTGACAAATAAAAAATATGCAGGTATTTTTCATGATTTATAATAAACTAATATTTGAAATTAGAAAATTTAAAAATAATTATGATTAATAAATAAATTTTGATAAGGAAACAATTTGCATTATTTCTACTTCTTAATTGAGACGTGAATTTCGAAAAGGGCTCAACTCTAAAAATCGTAAGATTCGTTATCACTGTCAATTGTTAGGTAAACATGACATTTATGGTTTTCAGAGTTGAGCCCTTTTCGAAATTCACGATTCAATTACAATTGCTTTAATGAAATTTAAAATTTTTTAAAAGTAGATAAAGGAAAATAATGTTTATAAACTTTATTTAACAATTGCAAATTTTAATTGAAAATGAAATTGAAAATTTTAAAGTTTTTAGAAAATAAAATGTCCTTGAAGTTTCGAACGTTCAAATGAACGACAATATCAATTGAATTGAATTTTATTTACAAAATATTGCTTTTTATAATAAAGAATTCTTTTTTAGCTAAAAAATAATTAATTACAATATTGTTTGAATTTCAGTCTATTAATTTTTGAAAATATTAGAGCATAAAAAAATATTTCGTTCATTTGAACGTTCAAAACTTTAGGAAAATAAAATAAAGGAAAAAAGTTCACTCAAAAAAAAGTTTTGTTACATTATTTATTTACGAATTTCTTTAATTTTAAAATTATTCAAAAACATCAATAACTTTTTTTTTAAAATAAATATTTAATTATTATTTTTCCATAGGAATTAAGATTTTCAAAAATTCTAAATTCAAACCTTTTTGAAATTAAACAACTTATAAAAGTATTATCATTACTTCATATTAAGAATATTGTTACTGTAACTTCTTAAAAATTATTTTCATCATTTCAATTCAATTATTATTTTCTAGAATTTGTAACTTAAATTCTTCTCTAAATCATCTATTTTTAATAATTTTTGAAAAAGTTCATTGAGTATTTTCAAATACTTTTTTTTAAAATTGAATTTTACGTAACTTTGATTATTCGGAAAATCTTCAACTAAATATATATATATATATATATATATATTAGAAAATAAAAACTTCAAATAATGTTTAAAAACCTTATATTAAACTTTTTCAAAAAAATTAATGCTTTAGAATTGCCAGTTAAAAGTATAGAAAATTAAAATTTTTTAAATATTTGAATTTTAAATCTTTTCAAAATTATTCAATTATTTAGATACAAAAGTAAATAATTTATTGAATAATTGAATGTTTTTAAAAATCTAATTCTCATAAAGAATTTTATAAACAAATTCTTAAATAATTAAATTGTTTTAATGATGTTTAATAAAATTTTTTAGAATAATTACATTTTTTGAGAAATTCGATTAAAATTATACTGAAAATAATTAAAATTATGCGATGAGCTTTAAGGTACTCTCTCACCTCTACTGCCTGCCTGCCTGCGCAGGCAGGCGCAATGAGAGTAAGGGAGAAAAAACATTTAATTTGAATTTTCTGACTCTCTTACTCTTATGTGTTACCATGACGACCTGCAGGCAGGCAGGCAGGCAGTAGAGCTGTGCGAGCGCCTTTATATGAAAATAATTGAATTCTTAAAAAAATGTATTATTTAGGAAAATAATTAAATGCTTCCCCACACAGCACCGAAACTTTCCTAAAAGTTTATTAAAGATTTACTTTAATTCCAGAAAATTTAATTTAAATTTTTCAGGAATGTTTTAAGTTACATTTTCGCTTATAAGAGAGAAGTCGAAAATTGAATTTAAATGTTCAGGAAAGTTTTAAGTTACATTTTTAGGAGAATTTGACTATAAACATTTATTTAAGTGGAATATTTGAATCTTTACACAATTTCCACTAAACTTTGCAAGTAAATTTTTCGAAGTTTGCAAGTAAATCTTTAATAAATTTTCATGAAAGTTTTGGTGCTGTGTGGGTCAGTACTATTTTATAAAAAAAATTTTTTTAATAATCGAATTCTTTTCGGTTTATTAAAATAGTAGATATTGATAGTAATAATATAATAGTAATAGAAATAGTAATAGAAATATTATTATATTAATATTATATTAATAGTAATAGAATATTTATTATTTATTTTTATGAAAAACAATTTAAATTAAATTTTTTTAATTCTATTTTTTTAAAATTGCTAATTTTATTTTTAAAAAGTGCGTAAGGAGTTAGTATTTAATTATTAGTATTTAAATAATTTATATACATACTTTTCCTTTTACAGTATGCTGAAGTGGTCCTGTTCTCTGCTTGGCATCACTAATGATTTGTCTATTAGCCGACATTTTTGCAGCATCTACTAATGCATTTTTATCTCTTCTCTTGCATTTTATTTTGTCAATGATCTCCTGGGAAGCCGATTCTATAGCCCGTATTGTGGGCTTTTGCAATCGTTTGTTTTTTGCTATATCATCATTAACTTGCTTTTGAACATCTTCTTGAGAATCTGGAAGTATTAAAAAATTATCGATATCAGGGGCAATTAGATGTAGAACATTGGAAGTAAATATGAAAAAAGCCAATTTCAGGCATAACAGTACCTTTCTCCCTCAAAAAAAGTTAAAAGGTGAATTTTTTTCCTCAAAAAGGGGACAAAAAGAGGACAAAAATTAATTTGTTTCTAAAACTTGCATATATAATTCAAATTTTTTATCATATAGTTTCTATAAAATGATTCGATTTTAATCAGAGTTGCCACAAAAGTATTTAATTTTTTTTCCCTGACTTTTCATTGATATTCAGACAAAATTTTGACTTTGTCCCTAAAGAATATTCTACGATTCACTCTAAAAATGATTAGATACGAAAAAAATGTTCTATTACATTTATTTACGAATCTTCTTAAACGTGAAATTATTCCAAAACAGTAATAAGTTCTTTTTTAAAAAAATATTTAATCATTATTATTTTTCCACAAGAATTAAGATCTTCAAATCATTTTGAAATTCAACAATTTATAATAATTAAAGATGACCGAGTGATAAGATCATTATTTTGTACTGTAAGAAATATTTTTACTGTAACTTCTTAAAAATTATTTTCATCATTTCAATTCAATTATTACTTTCTAGAATTTTTAACTAAAATTCTTCTATAAATAAAATATTATTTACATTAACTTTTAATAATTAATATATATTTGACAATAGAAACTTCGAATAATTTCAATTAAACTTTTCGAAAAACATTAATTCAACAGAATTGTTTGTTAAAAATATGAAAAATTCAGATTTTAAAAAATTTCAATTTGAAACTTTTTCAAAATTCAATTATTTCTAAAAATTCACGCTTTTACAGGGTGAATGCTTCAATGCTTTTACAGAGTGTCTAACAAGGATTGAGAACAAAATTCCCTGACATTTCTTTACTTTTTCCCTGACTTTTTACTAATTTTATTTTTGCTTTCTTGGGACAGAAATATGGTAACTGACATATTTACCAATAAATTAATATTTAATGATAGTAACAAACAGTCATATAAGTCTTTAAAGTTTTGTTAGATTACAAAAATGTTTACAAAAAATTTCAATTTTTATAGAAATTACCCTAACTTTGAATTAAATTCTCTGACTTTCCCATGACTTCCCTGACCGTTAGACACCCTGTTTTAATATTCAATATTATTATGTAAAATTTTAATTAAAATTTAATAATTTTAAATCAAATTCTATTAGAAAATTCTACGAGAATTCATTCTTAAATCAATTTTTATTAAAAAATTCTAATGGAATTGAACTATTTAAATACAAAAATAAATAATTTGTTAATTAAATGTTTCTTAAAATTAAATGCTCGTAAAGAATGTTATCAAATTCATTTTATAAATAAGTGAATTTTTTCGACGAATTTTAACAAAACTAAAGAATAATTTTACATTTTTCAAGAAATTTGTTTAAAATTGTATTAAAAATAATTGATATTCTGCGAAAAGTTTTATTATTTGTTAAAATATTTTAATCTCTCAGAAGAATATTGTATTATTTTTCAACATAATTAAATTTCTTCAACAATTTGTAATGCAAAAAAATAATTTATAGAATAATATTGAATGTTTCTTAAAATTCAAATTTCATATAAAATTTTATCAACAAATTTTTAAATAATTTAAATTTTGACGAGAATTTCGTTAAATTTTTTAATATACCATTAAATTTCTGAAAAGAAATTTATTACTTTTAAAAAAATTTCAGAATAATTTAAATTTTTAACATTTTTGCAAACATTTAAGTTTTTCAAAATTTATAATAAAATTCATTCAAAATTAAAATTTTGTAAAATTTTAAATTAATTTTTTTTGAAGTTCATCTATTTATGAAAATTGCAAAAGCAACTCTTTTAAAATTCAATTGATTTTGAAATCTATAAATAAAATTATTCATTAAATAATTTCTAAGTAATAATTTTATGATAGTCCTTAAAGAATTAAGTTATTTAAAAAGAAATTATAGTCAGAAATGGAAAAATTTGAAAGTTTTGCTTTAGAATTTTTGTTTTTCCAGAAAAAATTATTAATAATAATATTTTTATTATTTGAATGTTAATTAATTATTTTTAGAGGTCTGCATTCTGTTGAATGAACCACCTTATAATTTATAAAATTCTTTACGATATCTATATTATTTAAATTATAAACATAATAAGACATTATTATTATTATTATGTTGTGGTGTTAATAATCTAAACAAAAAATACAACGCATGAATTCTATAACATTGAGTCTAAATTTTATTATTACACTTTGAAAAAGATTTCAAAAAAGAACATTTTCTGCTTCTTAATTACGATTCATGAACAAAGTACAAGTTTTAAGTAAAATAAATGTTATTAATCAAATTTTGTTTAAGAACTTTTTAATTTATTTTTGAAAAAATATATACAAAATTTTTACTTGTTAAAAAAGATTGTAAAATTATTCAAAAACATCAATAACTTCTTTTTTAAATAAATATTTAATTATTATTTTTCCATGGGAATTCAAATCCTTCAAAAGATTCAAATTCAAACCTTTTTGAAATTAAAGCACTTATAAAAAATTGTTATAAAACACAAAGAAATTGATTGATTGGTTTCTTCATTTTTTATAATAAATTATAGATAACCGAGTGATAAAATCATTATTATATATAATAGAAATATTTTTACTGTAATTAGTTCAAAATTATTTTCATCATTTTAATTGAATTATTATTTTCTACAATTTTAGAATAGAATTCTTCTTTAAATGAAATATCTTTAATAATGTTTAAAAAAGTTCTTTGAGAATTTTCAAATCCATTTGTTTACGATTCAATTTTACGAAATTTCAATTATTCAGAAATTCTTCAATTGAATACGTATTAAAAAATAAACACTTCAAATAATTTCAGATAATAATTCAATTAAACTTTTTCAAAATAATTAATTCTACAGAATTGTTGGTTAGAAGTATTAACAATTCAATCCCTGTAAAATATTTTATTATTTATTGACAATAATTAATTCTTGTGAAGAAATTTATAAAAAATTTATAAATAATAGAATTACATATGAAATTGACGAAAATTTTTGAAAATGATTGAAATTTCGACAGAAATTTTAATTAAAATTTTTAAATCATTGAATTTTGACAAGAATTTTCTAAAAAAAAACTAAAAATAATTCAATTTAAACGCAACTCTGAAAATTAAAATACCAAGCAATCTAGTCAATTTCTTTGAATTATTGTTTATTATAATTATTGTTCCAGTTTCCGTCCATTTTTTAAGATTGAATGTTTATAAAAAAATCAAAAACAGCATTGGTACATTAACTTTTGAAAATATTTTTTGATTATTTAAATTTTATTCTTTTTTAAACCTAATAAAAAATTAGAAAAAATTAATTAGATTTTTCAGAATTAAATTACAAAATAATAAACTTTACAATAATTAAATTTTCAAATTATAGAATTAAAAAAAATAATTTTTGAAAATACAAAAATTGTAACATTGTACTTTGTAAAAATAATAAAAAATTTGTAAATATATTACCTCCAACTTGATGAATAATCGCACTCACGATGACCCATTCCTGATCCAAAGGCTCGTACCAAAACACATCGAATTGAGGGGGTGTCGGAAACTTTTTCTTAAAATCAGTTTTGCTGATAGGGACCCACTTATCTATCCTGTCGACAGGAATAATTTCTGTTTCTTTATCTTCTCTGTATTGTATATTAACAAATTTAATAATGCACATGTTGCCAACCGCACTAGATTGCACTAGACTTAGACTAGTTTTCCTCTGTTCGAGCTCGACAAGTCCCAAAGCCAGAGATAAAAGGAAGTAACTGCGCCTGCCTGAAACTCTTTTACAATTTCACGCACGTGAACTGTTTTGAGTATGCGCAGTTGTAATATAAATTAGCGCCAAAATGGTATGGGCTTTTTAGCAATACGCCATCTGGTGGAGACCCATTCTCTTCCTCCATTTTTCTTTTTTGTCTTTTTTCAATTAACAGGTTAGAAAGAATAGAAAAACAAAATGGAGGAAGAGAATGATTAAAAGTCACCAGATTGTTACCAGATCCCCGATCGTAGTGACAGGTTGTTGACTTTTCCTTCTCTCCCTACTAAAACTCTGCATCCCCTTTCAAAACGTAGCAAAACGTGATCACTGTATGAATTTTGTCGCGTCGCCGTATGAGTGAAAAGAGTGAAAAGTAATTGGAAGAATCGGATCATCATTAGTTTTTGTTCACTGCGGGTTTGTGTAAGTACATTTGTTTTTGTTTCTTAGAGTAGATTTTGTATAAGATATGTGTGTTGGTGATAAATATATTTTTAAAAATAATACGTTCGTTAACTTCAAATTAAAAATAATAAAATATTTATAAATGTAAAATTAGTAAACTCTCAAAGAAACAATAAAAAGAAAATAAAAAATACCCAATTCAAGTAATTAGTTTAGATATAAAGATATATATTATTAAAATAATATATTTAGATATAAGTAACAAATTTTTCAGTTTCTAAAATAATTTTTATACAAATACCTGCGAAACAAAATTATTATTTGAATACTTTTTTTAATGAAAGTAAACAAAAATTATATATTGTGAAATTTTTAATACTTTCTGCACTATCGAAGATACGTGGTAAAATATTTCGTTTCAATTATTTTACTATTTATTTTTTATTTAATTTCGGATATTTTTTAAAACTTTGTTCTTTTAAATATTCTGAAACCGTTATGAAAATACCTAGTTATCTTGTTTCGGTTACACTAAAAAAATTGTTCCTCGCTTAGTATAAACCAATATTTTTGTCTTTTTCAAGTTGTCCTTTACAATATCAGTTTGGCATTATTAAAGTTTCTATATTCATCAGAGAGCACGGGATTCGTATAAAAAAAACGTCTTATGCGACCTTCCATATTTTGATTATCTTTGTTTTTATTTACTCTATGGATGGAGTAAATGAAAGTTCTTCCACACTAAGACCTTGATTGATTTTGAAATGAAATTCTCTTAAAACAAAATTTGTCATGATTATTTGATTTTTTCAATGTTATGATTTTTTATTTCTTTTTAATCAAAAATAAACTTTTCCATATGGTTAAAGGTAGAGGTAGATAGCTGTATTATGATGTATTATTAGATTATTACTTAATATTAATTAATTATATTTTATAAATTTATATATTAATAATTTTAGCATCAAAGAATCTATCGAAAAGTACATGAAAAGTTTCGTAATTTAATGTAATTAATAATTTCTATTAGTAAACAGTAATCCTACCAGATTGTTCTCCTTGTTAGGTTTTAAGGAAAGGAATTTTTATTAAAAAAATTGACTGTGTTCTTTATAATTGTGCAATAAGATGATGTTAATAATAAAATAATACTAACGATTTCTGTAGTAATTAAAGCAAATAAAAAAATTTATTATCTGAATGAAGTATATCTGCATTTACTAATATATGTTTCAAATTTTAGGTCCTGCAGTTAATATGTGGAAGCAAAAACCTTTAAATTACAAAAGATATCTACAACACCCAAATGTTTCGATTCCACGATCTACACTTTTTAGAAGAAAAGCTTCTCATCCTGCACATATAAAAGAATATGAGGTATTTAAGTATTCTAAAGTTTATTATCAGGGTTGCCACGCTTTTGCTCATTTCAAATTTCCTGACATTTCCAGGTTAAAAAACGGAATTTTTCCAAGTTTTCAAAACTACATTTATATTTTACAAAATTAAATAATTCCAATACATTTTTACGAATACATGGAACTTTCATATAATACTGTATTCCGCATTGTTATATTTATCTTTTCTAAATAAATATTTAGTCATAATAATTTTTCTATAAGATTTTCAAAAATTTTAAATTCAAACCTTTTTGAAATTAATTAACTTATAAAAAATTGCTATAAAATATGAGGAAATCGATCACTGCAAGTCTTCGACTCGGAGAAATCGATATCTTCATGTTTTATTATAAGAATATTGTTACTGTAACTGATTCAAAATTACTTTCATAATTTCAATTCAATTATTGTTTTCCACGAATTTTTAACTAAAATTCTTCATTAAATTAATTATTCTTAATAATTTTTGATAAATTTCTTTGAAAATTTTAAAGTCCTTTTGTTTACAATTCAATTTTTCGAAATTTTATCGATTATTCAAAAATTCTTAAATCAAATATCACACAATTTTTAGTTTAAGTATAAAAAATTCAAACATTCAAAGATTATCATTTGAAACTTTTTCAAAATTCAATTCTTTCTAAAAATTCACGCTATATAATAGCGTTTTTATATTTATATTCAAATATAAATTTCAATTAGTAAAAATGTTTACTAATTGAAATTAGTGACTGAATTTTTTCTTTGAATTAGTAAATTTTACTATTAAATTAGTAGAAACGACTATTTATTAGTAAAATCTGCTAATTCAAAAGCAAAAAGTCAGTCTTTAATTTAAATTAAAAAATTCTACGAGAATTCAATTATTTAAATACAAAAATAAATTATTTATTGAATAATTGAATGTTTCTTGAAATTAAATACAATTATTTTGATAAATAATATCATTCTTGGGAACAATTCAATTTTTTAAATACAATTTTAAGTAAATTTTTCGAAAAATGTAATTATATGTTCAAAATCTTTATTAGAATTCTTCGAAAGAATTCAATTATTTATTATTTTTAATAATTTTTGCAAAAGTTCCTTAAGAATTTTCAAACCCATTTGTCTACAACAATTCAAATTTACGAAATTTCGATTATTCGTAAATAATTCTTGAATTCAATATTTAAAAAATAAAAACTTCAAATAATTTTAAAAAAATTCAATTACACTTTTCAAAAAAATTAATTCTACAGAATTAATTTCGAATGGTATATTTGTTAATTTTCCGACATTTTCATTTCCAAAAAAATCGTGATTTAAAGATTGGTATGTTTTTGGGCTGTGCGCGTGCAGTCGTACCGATAATTCCCGACGGTAGTGTATGATAATAATTGAATCCCAGTAAAAAAATTATTATTTCTGAAAATAACTGAATACTTGACAAAAAATTTATAAAAATTTGTAAATAGTTAAATTCCTGTGAAATTTTTATTATTTATTAAAATAATGTAATGCTTCCTTAGGATTCTATCAATATTTTTTAAAAATATTTTAATTCTTTTGAAAAATTTCATTAAAATAGTAGATAGGGGAGTGTTGTTAGAGTTACAATGATTAAGTAATTCAAATATGTTAAAACATTTCTAATTATTTTTTTTAACAATAAAATTATTATCCGAAATTAAATAATTTTCAAAAATTTTAATAAAATTTTTCTGAATTAAATGATTTTCAATATTTACCATTTTAAAACAATTTTCCAAAAGAATTCAATTATTTAAAAAGAATTTAATTGAATTCTACGCAAACATTAAGGTAATTATTTTTATAGAAAATCATAAATAATATTTTTTATTAGCTTCATTGGTTATAAGTAAATTAATCAAAAAACTTATTAAAATAATGTTTAAGTGTTTCTTAAGTATGAAAGAAAGTATAACAATTTATTAAATTGTTTAAACAATTAATTGTTGTAATTTTTTATAAACTGAAGTTAGGGCTGAAAATTTCTACTTTTTCTCAACTGTTCTAATCGTAATATAAAATAATATTATTTAATTTAATGTCCTAGGAATATTTTGATCGATTTAAAGATAAATCTCAACTTTACTGTGATAAAGGAACGCCACAATTCGCAATCGAAGAAGCAATAACAGAAGAAAATGAGGTAACGTCACAACTTGCAAACGAAGATGTAATAACGGAAGAAAGAAATACATTAACAACAGAAGAGGTAAAACATACTTCTTTGTCATTATGTTTCACAAGAATATATATCCCGCGAAACTCGTGGAAAATTTGGGCTTTCCCATAATATTTCCCAAAATATTTATATATATATATAAACTGAAATTTAATTGGATTTCTTGTCACCAATCAATATAAAATTTGAAGTAATTTCAGTTGAACAAAAAATTATATTCTTAAAAATACTCTCAATTATAACTTTTTTCATTTAAAAATTCATTTTACTGAATGTTTAAGTTGCAATAATTTGTTTGTAAAATATTTTTGTACTCACGAGTTCTAAGATATACTAATTTGCAGAAATAAAGTCTGTTAAAAGTCCATTCTACCAGTTAAAATTTTGGACGGAGAGATTATAGTCATGTTTCAAAAGCATGAATTAATACCCAAAAACCGTGGGTTCGCGCTTTTTCGGTATGTTTTTATATGCCTTTGAAGCGTGACTATAGTCTGTGCGAATTTAGTATAGGTAGTACCTTACTATTCCGTGTGTCTATTAAAATTTTATACCATATAATCTATAGGGGACCGTCATGCGTGCGCCTATCTTTCAAACTTTTTTTGTCTATATTGGTCCTAGATTTAGAGCTACGTATACATTTCAAATAGTGAAAAAGTGTTGATCTCGTCCCGCAGTCTACTCTAATTTTTGATAATTTTATTTTCAGAAAATAATTTTCCAAATTATAAATTCACAAAAAAGAAAAATTTTAAATGAAATAGAAACACATGTTTTACATAATAAATTACTTCAATTATTCATTCGCAATTGCAGAAATTCCAAATTCACGTCAAAAGGAAAAGAACATCTTCTTTCGGAGATTATGGACCAAGTCATACAACTTCTGTAAATGATGACAGTAATGCAGATGCAACATCACTTCATTTAATAGTAGATGATATAGATTCTGCTGAAGAGGAATTTCATGTCAAAAATCTTTTAAACGAGGTACTGTCTTCGCCTATATTATTTACATTTATTTTTTAAAACGATTATAATACAATTATTTCCAATGACAACTTAGAAATGGAAGTATACTTAAGAATTTTCCAAAGAAAGTTTTTATTTAACGTTTTAATATCATTTTCCCAAACAGCACCGAAGATTTCCTGAAACTCAACAGGACGTCGTTCATGGAAGAATGTGTGGATGTTTAAATGTCTACATAAAAGGAATATTAAATATCAACGTTATGCGAAAATTATTCTGCAAATATTTACTTGCGATGATCAGTCAATATTATATCAATATTATGCGATATTCGCATAGATATCTATTGAAATTTCGTTTGCTAATTAATTGATTAAGGCTTAAGGTTGATATTTAATATTCTTTTTATGTGGATATTTGAATATCTACACATTCTCCCATGAACATCGCCACTCAATGTTTCTAACTTTGCTGAACGTGGTCCTGTCGAGCTTCAGAAAATCTTCAATACTGTGTAGGATTATTATTAAAATACATATTTATAAAGTACATACTTCATATACAAATATGTTCGATACATACATGGTTGATTTACAACCCCAAAGAAAGTTTAAAAGCTTCTATTTTCTTTCCAAATTGATTCAATCTTTTTTTTTAATTTATAAAAAAATATTTTCAAAAGCATGAAAGTTAAAACAAGTTGTAAATCCAGAATCTGATGTTCATTACATGAACATTTTGCTTCCTCTTTAAAATCAGCAAAAAAATGTGCTTCCTCGTGGAGGAAGCATTATCGAAAATTATATTAAATTTTTAAGTAATATTTAGTACAATCTAACATTTATAAAATCGAGTTTATTCGTCATAATAGAAAAAATAAAATTTTATTGTACAATAATGTAGTCTATATAAATAAGATCAGACTTTTGTCTCTACATTGCATAGAATTTAAAAATTCATGTTTAGTTTTTCTATTCGAGTAGTAACAGGGTGTTCAACTACCTTGAAAACCTTGAATAGTACTTGAATTTTATTGCAAAACCTTGAAAAATTAAAATTCTTAAAAGTGAGATTTTTTTCCTTGATGTTTTAATAGTTAAATTCTCGTCAATATTTCAATGATCTTTATAAATATAAAAATTCTTCGGCGAGATTCAATTATATTCAGGTACTTTAATAAAATTCATTACAAAATACAATTATTTTTATAAATAACAAAATTCATCACAAGAATTCAATTATTTTAAAAATTAATTAAATTCTTCTCAGAAATTCAATTATTTTCAAAAAATCAAAAAGAAAATTGTGGTTAACATTCCAATTAACTTCATAAATAAATAACAATAATCTTTGACAAAGTTCAATTATTTTGTGGAGTTTTAATAAAATTCATTGCAAAATTCAATGATTTTAATATAAATAATAGTATTCATCACAAGAATTTAAATATTTTTAAAATTTTTTAATAAAAATCATGGCAAAATTTCAAATTATTTTAAAAACTTTTTCTTGCTTCGATGGTTTTTAATATTGTATTATTTTCATAAAATTTCACGAATGAATTTAATTATTAAACAAAAGTTTTTAAAAAATTCTTCACAAACTTTCAATTATTTAAAAAAAAAATTTCTACATTAATTCAATTATTTAAAATAGAATTTGCATATATTTTTTTGCAAAAATCAATTATTTCAAAATTTAGCATCAAATTCTTTGCAGTAATTTAACTACTTTCGAAAGTAATAAAATTCAATTCAACTTCATTGCAAAATTTCAAATATTTTCAAAAAATTTTCTTAATTCAATAATTTGTAGGTATATCAATTATTTTTAAGGTACTACTACACTTTAGAATTTTAAAAATTTTATTTTTTTTTATTGTATTTTTTAACTCCTTATAACTTCCGAAAACGCCTCCTAAAGTATTCATAACTAATTGCAAACAATAAAAGTAAATTTCTTAAAAATTATTCAATAAATATAAAAAGCCATTTACAAATTAAGTAAGTTTTTTAGGGGATGGTGGGGTCCAGCTTTTTGTTAAGACCAGTAGAAGCATTAGTGCTAATGTATGTAACAGTGTCTGACATAAAAAAAGTGGAGGGGTTTCAATTTGCAAAAGAATTTTAGGTAATTTATGGATGGCCTCTAACGATACATATAAGGTTTAAACGCGTTTTTCTCAAAATAACGTTTTTTTCAAATTGCGGACACTTTATCTCTGTATCTACTGAACCGATTTTAATAAATAATAAGTCGTTTTGTTTGATAGCATGTCCTGTGTGTGAATTCACCAGAAAATAGTCAAAAAATTAAAAAAAAACATTTTTGCAGATTAGAAAAATACTGAAAAACAAGTGTGTTTTTAAACAAATTATTGAAACATCTGCTATTTCTTTATTTTAGTCGATTTTTCAATATTGGTGGGATTTCTATGCAAGACACCTTCCTGCTTTTCTTTTCTGCTTTTTAAAAAGCAGTTTGAATTTTTTGTTTCCGATTTGTCAATCTTGAGATAAACTGTCCGCAATTGGACAACTAACTTTTTGGAGTTTCGATCTGAATGCTGTCTGCAGATTATGCTATTAAATAAAAATTAAAAACAAACCATTATTTTTGTTCTCCAAATATGCACTAATATAGACAAAAATGTTTTTTTCATATTTATAATAAAAGACCTAAGAAATTTTTTTTTAATTTTGGTCTTTTAAGAGCCTTCTAAAGTGTAGTAGTACCTTAATAGAAATTTCCAAAAGAATTCAATTATTTAAAAACAATTTCGATTGATGTTTCTTAAATCGATGTTCTTTATATTTCTATTATTTTATCAATAAATTGTATTTAAAGTTATTTATGAATAACTGTTGTATGTAGAAATTACAAAATTGTTTATAAGCACTCTCTAAATTTTAATTAGTAAAAATATTTACTAATTTGCATTAGTTACTGACTTTTTGCTTTCAAATTAGTAAATTTCACTAAAAAATTAGTAGAAATGATTATTTATTAGTAAAATTTACTTATTTAAAAGAAGAAACTCGCAAAATAGTATTTAAATACACATTATTTTTTCCAAAAAAAACTGCGGCGTACTAATAAAAACGCTTTTGATATTCTTTGTAATTACTTAAATTTGTTTAAATGTTCTTTTTTATGTAGTACATTTACCATATTTTAGGATTAACAAATTGAAAAATATTTTTAAAAATATATAATTCAGTGTTTTTTTTCTATTTTAGAAAACGCCATTTTTTTCTAAAATAAGTGTCACCTACAAATATAGATCATATATTAACATAAAAATGTTTCTTCTTTCCTTAAAATAGTTTATTAGTAATACCTTATTTATCATCACTATTAATTTTATTTTTTTTAAATAATGATAACTATTTTTAGGTCAGTAATGTACACTTACAAGAAATGGAGGAGGCTTTGAACATGACAGATGACTTCAGTAATGTTTTTTTCAATAAGGATGGAGAAAATAATTCACCTTTCAAAAAACTTAATACGCTTATCAACAATCATGAATTCTCCGAAATCATAAGCCAACCGATCAACAAAACTTTAGGGGAACTTTTAATGATACTCTTGAAATTTGCAGTAACTCATTCTCTATCACTTACTGCCGTCACTCAACTATTTTTGCTCATAAATTCTATGTTTTCATCACCCATTTTGCCCGAATCTCGATATTTAATTAATACATTGTTCAATCCGTCAAGTAACGCAACATTTCACGGAATGTGTCCTCAATGTTCTTATATAGGTATATTTAAACGTTCTGACAAATCGATCAAATGTACTTTTTGTGATTTAGACGTTCAAGTTAAAAGTTCTTCTTACAATGACTTCTTTGTTTATTTTGACATTAATTCACAAATCTCGGAATTAGTAGAAACAAATAGCGATTACTACTATAATGTTATGAATCGACGAAGATACGAAAATAATGTGTTTAAAGATATATATGACGGTCAAATGTATCGAGCGTTTGTAAATAGTTTAGACGATAATGACAGGCATCAATATTTAACGACTACGTTTAATACAGATGGTGCGCCATTATTCGAGAGCTCTGCTTACTCAATATGGCCTCTTTTTTTACAAATTAATGAGTTGCCGTATCAAGTAAGAACCAATGAATTAATTCTTTGCGCTTTATGGTTTGGAAAAAGTAAACCTAATATGAATGTCTTCTTAAAGCCCTTCGTTGCAAACATGAATAAGTTGTCTGCAGAAGGAGTCAAATGTAAAGTAAAAGAAAAAGTGCTTTCTGTTAAAGTTTATTCATTATGTTGTTGCGTGGACTCAATTTGTAGGCCAACAATGCAAGGTTTTTGCCAATTCAATGGGAAATATGGCTGCCCTTGGTGTTTGCATCCTGGGCAATGGGTGTCGAATCCAACAACAAAAAATGGAGGTAGTCAAAAATATCCATTACTAGATGCACCTGTTAGTAGGCGAACCGTACAAGACACGCTTCGTCACATGGAAATAGCAACTCCAAATAAACCATGTTTCGGTATTAAACATCCATCCGAATTAATCAATCTAAATAATTTTGATATAATCGATGGCTTTGTACCTGATCCGATGCATATTGTTAGCAATGTGGGTAAACTTTTCACCCACATTTGGTTTGGTACTAAAAGCGTGTCCTCTGCGTATCTTACTAAAGATAAACTTATTGAAATAAATTCTATTATGACAAAAATTAAAGTTCCTTGCCAAGTTGGTCGCCTTTCCCGTTCTCTGGATGACAAAGAATTTTGGAAGGCCAGAGAATGGGAAAATTGGATTTTGTATTACAGCATACCAATTATTTCATTATTTTTGGATTCGAAATATATAATGCATTGGCTCCTTCTTGTTGAGGCTTTTTATATTCTATCAAAAGAAAGGATTACAATTGATGACCTGAACCATGCAGATAAATTACTGCACAAGTTTGTTGCAGATACTGAAAATCTGTATTCTAGTGTAGCTATGACCTTTAATGTTCATATTCTTTTACATTTAGCCCGAAGCGTTTTTAATTGGGGTCCGCTTTTCGCCCATTCTTGTTACGGATTTGAAAGTGGAAATGGACAATTATTAAAAACAATTCATTCAGCTAAAGGCGTCCACCATCAGGTTGCTCGACATGTCGCTTTCAATTTTAGTCATTTATTTGTAAAAAAAGCGGTTTATGACAATTGCTCAACAGAAATGAAGCATTATTACGATTCATTAGGTCATGCAAAAGTTCAAAACACATTAAAAACTCAAAAAGCTAGATACTTTGGTATGATTAGTGCTGTGGAAGACGCATGGAAGATAAAGTTAGAACTGTCTGAAAATTCTGTTTGTTATTCTAAAATGGTAAAAAATGGATGTCTTTATTTGTCATCAGAAAGAATCAATCAACGATCTGATAATGCATTTGTTCTTCTTCATAATGGTAGTTATGCAAACATTTTTAAGTTTATTGTTGATAGAGAGTTGAACAAAGAATATGCGTTAGTACAAGTTTTACGGACAAAAAATGCGTTTTCCAGAAATCATAGAACTTTACAGATTATCGAGGAAATAGATTCAGAAATAACATCGATTTTCATTCATGACATACATAAAATCAGCGTTTGCATTGATATTCCTAACGAAAATTGTTATATTTCTGCAGTACCAAATTTATTGTCGTATTAGATTATTCTGTTTTTAACATTGGAAAAACCTAAATTAATTGGAAATTATCTGCTATCTTATATAGCAATTGGAATATCGAGTTTTTAATAAATATTTTATTACTTTTTGTATTTTTATATATCTCAAAACACGTTTAAAACTTTTATTGCGTAAATATGTATTAAATAAAGTAAGCATAAAAGTTCTGTTTTTAATATACTGTGCGGTGCATAATGAAAATTTCAGATATATTTCTGAATCTATTTAAATACTAAAATAGTATTTTCTTGAAAAGTTTAGAAATTAAAAATTTAAAGTTATTTCATATGTTTTGTAAATATCTTTTTTGTACCTAATGTATTATTATTGTAAGAACAATACAAATCCGTCAGAAAATTATTTCTTTTTGTCAAACCGAGTTATATTGTGTGTAATAATTAAATCTATACTTTAAACAATAATGTTCAGAATGTTTCTAAGAAACCATGCAAAATGATAATAAACATGTTACTGCACTGGATATTATGCAAGATCCAGTGTAGAAACATATTTAGGATCTTGTGCATATTCCTTTCCTAGAGTTTTCCTGCAAAATCACACTTAAAAGATCTTGTACAAGTTCCTGTAACAGTTCCTGCACGAGATCTCTTATTCTTAATATTATAGTGCTCGGGTTCATGTACATGAAATTGTTTTCGGAAAATTCATTACATAAGATCAAGTGCAAGAAACTGTATAGGTTCATATACTAGAAAAATCCGGAAAATTGCTTGAGGATAAACTCGCACACGTTCATGTACGAGTTCACTTTTCGTTTTAAATGTTGACCCTAAATTATAATGCATGATCTTGTATGTGGTCAGCTATAGGGTTATTTTACTTTTTCGAAACTACACACATGATCCTGCACGTGAAAATGTACTAGAAAGAATGTAGTGCAGAAACTACACGTTAATTTATACAAGAACATGTGCCTGTTCTTGCACACGTTCTCTCACAAGAAGAAATTTTGTCCATGATCACACACAATTTCCTGTGCCTTAAAATTCAATAATTTTTGGTTATGTACATGAACTTGTACAAGTTCTTGTGCGAATAAAATTTTCGTGCATGATCATGTGCGAGTTCATGTACGTTTTCACTGTTCCAATTCCCGCCACTTGATCATACACAAGAACTTGTACAGGAACGGATCCGTGATCCTGCACATGAGAATGTGCGTGTTCGGGTACATGATCTTGTACAGGGATTTTCAGTAGGGTGTACTCTTTTAAAATTAATATTTATGGTAATTACTAATTATTAGTCAATTAAATGTTAAAATATTAATTAATTAATCCTAATTGCATAACTAATTACTAATTATGCTGGCAGGCTGCCTGCAGAGGTGTAATCGCACTTTTCATACATCAGGACTAATTGTAAAACCTCCTTAAAATTCTGTCGAAATTTGTTTGGATACATTTACAAAAAAATATCAAAATATCTTAAAAATATATTTGTTGTGTCTGATTAAAAATAATTGCACATTTTGCATATGAATTTACTTAAAATCCTTAAATTTAATAATAATTAATATGCAATTACTTTAAATTTGACAAAACAAATGTATTTTCAAGCTATTGCAGAAACACCCTCACATCTCGGTGTGAAGGCGATTCTGAATTAGTAAAGGACAGATATATATATATTCGTGAGTTCGCGCTTACATATATTTTTAGGTTAGGAAGTTCATATCCCCCAGTGCCCAGTCCAGTCGTCGTCTCCTACACCCGACTCAGTTGTGCTTAGGCCATATCTCATGCATCTTATTCCTAGAGAGAAAGAATTTTCATACATATACTCTACTTCATGCTTTTTTATTTTCTACCACATATAAATAACTATTAGAATTAAAAGAATAGTTACGATAAACTAAAGTGTTTTCTGTATTGGGCTATTTCTTTCTTTTCTTTCAATATGGCTAATCAACAATTTAATGTTAGCAGATTTTTTAAAGACCATGTTTGGGATGGATATCTTTATAATATTAATAGTAAAACTGAAAATATAATGTAAGTATGAAACATAAAATCATAATTATAAACCTATATATAATATTATAATTATTATTACTTAATGTTAAAAAAATTTTTTAATTTTATCTTGCAATTTTTCTTTATAAAAATTCCAATAATTTATCTTTTGTCATACATTCTGTGTAGTGAGAATCTCCTTACACTTTAAGAATTGTAATGCATTGTGAAAAAATAAATTGTTTACTGCTCAATTCTAAAAATATAAATGTTTTTCATTTTAATGAAAAATATAATTTTATTTATCATAAAAAAACTGATATGAGTTGCCACTTTCCATTGGGAACTCGACAATTTTTCTACGAAGTGTCTATACGTCCGGCTAGTCGGACGAAATATTTTGTCTAAACGTCCGGATATACGGACATATAGCTCCCAAAATATTTCATCCGGCTATTTACTATATGTACTGGTGATGAGCGTTTGACAGTATCCGGATAAAATAATGAACTTTATAATTCGTCCGTCTATTAGATTTTTACAAGTATAATATATTCCTTGAATGTTTTTGACATTTTTAGGTTATGGAGATACTTTATGTTTTTTTCTACAAAATATTTAAAACACAAAAACTTTAAAGGGTATTTCCTTTTTTAAGTTATGTAGTTAAATTTTAAAATTAATTTGATAACTAAATGCGAAAACATAATATGCATAATAATAGTAATAACAATTATAATTATTGTCATTCTATAATTATTACCTATATTAATTTTTTGCTTTTTTATTTAAATATTTACAAAAAATATTTTATAATAAAATTTTTTTAGATAAATAAACATCAAAAAATATTCTATGCAGAGTTTACAAACACATATTTGTTAAATAAATAATGTAAATAGAAGACTAATATTTATTTATTTATATAACTTTTTTTATTTATTTATTTAAAAAATGTCTATAAATTAAGAATACAATATTTTTTGAAGATTGTAAGTCTTAAAAAAATTATTGTTCACAAAAATATTTTGGGACGCCTGTATATTTCCGGAATTTAAAAAGTTCTAATCGTAGTTTTATCCATTTAAAAAGTTTTAAATGTTAATAAAGTGAGTTTATCATAGAATTTATTTTTCAGCAAATAAGCAAATTATCCGATTCGCATTTACTAAATAATATATTTTATTTAAGGGGTAACACCATTCTAGAGCCAGAAAAAGAGACCTATATCTTTGATGATTTATTTTGAGAAAATGAAAAATAGAATAGGATTTCTTTTTGGAGGATTTATTAATTATACATATTGAAGTGTGGAAATTTTTTTTAAATTATATAACAAAATGGCGGCGGTAAATTTCATATTCAAAATCGACTATTTTTTACGGCCGGAAAGGTTTCTTGAAAAGTTTAAGTCCTGGAACAAAAAGTAAAGAAATTTTACAAACTATAAATATACTATAAACTTTGGAACTACATACTGATTTTTTAATTTGATGTAAACTTTATTTTTTATTACTCTTTGGCAAAAAATCGTTTATTGTACTCAAAAAGTGCGCGATTTTTACAAAAATTGATATATAAAAAACCCTTATGCACTTCCAAAGTTTACATGGAGAAAAATATAAAGTAACTTTTACTACTTTTATAGTAAAAAATTTACCGGAAATTTTTTACTATAAGAGTAGTAAAAGTTATTTTATATTTTTCTCCGTGTATATTATATACATCATGAAATTTCTTTGTTTTCTGTTCCAGGACTTAAACTTTTCAAAAAATCTTTCCGGACGTTTTGTTAAGAAAAAGATTAGTCGATTGTTACTATAAAATTTATCGTCGCCATTTTGTTATAAAATTTAAAATAAAAATTTTTTTCTACACTTCAATATGTATTTAACAAACCCTCCAAAACGAAAACCTATACCTTTTTTCATTTTCCCAAAACAAATCATCAAAAATTGGTCTTCTTTTCTGCCTCTAGAGTGGTGTTAACCCTTAAATAAAATAATTTTTTTGAAGAAGAGTAATAGTTCTATATAAATGTTACAGTTACTATAAAAGTTTAATCAAAATTATAATGTTGAATAATTTGAAACCCGTGTAATCCTCAAGAAGATGATAATAATTGGTAGTCAATGTTTTTAGATCAAAATTCCATTTGGATTTTTTAACATTGTAAAAGTGGTAATTCGAGTATAAAAACATTATGTATTTGCAATTAACATTTGTTACAGTAAACATTATGTCATATGACATTTTTATAAACATTAAAAAATATATTTTATAGTAATTTGAGTTAATAATGGTTCGAGAAAATAAAGTTTTGCATAACATAAATATTTTAATAAGTTACCTTTTGAAAAATTCAGCATTTGAATAAATGACAACTAGAATATATAACAATTTTACCAGTTGAATTTTCATCTTCTTCAGGATTACACGGGTTTCAAATTATTCAACATTATAATTTTGATTAAACTTTTATAGTAACTGTAACATTTATATAGAACTATTATTCTTTTAAAAAAAATTATTTTATTTAAATCAATTATATTTTATTACATTTAGACTTAACATATTAATGTCAGAAGCCATTTAAAAAAGTCCAAGAGGATTCAAGGCGGGGAAAGAAGTGGTTTTCATTTTTTTGTCACGAATTTTTCAAAATAACCCCGAATTTCAAGTAAATTGCTAATTCCTCGCTTTGGAAGCAATTTTTTTCTTTTGATAATTATTTATTTTAATATCAGTAGCCATTTAAAAAAATTCCTAAGCGGTTCCAAATCGGGGAAGAAGTGATTTTGAATTTTTTGTGGCACGGATTTTCCAAAAATCTCTGATCTTCTGATAATAATTTATTTCAATGTCAGAAGCCATTTAAAAAAAATCCAAAAGGATCCAAGTCGGGGAAAGTAGTGATTTTTGTTTTTTAATTGTAATTCCGGGATTTTTGGAAAATCCACGACAAAAAATACAAAATCACTGCTTTCCCCGCCTTAGATCCTCTTAAAATCTTTTTTAAATGGCTTCTGATATTAAAATAAATAATTATCAAAAGAAAAAAATTGCTTCCAAGTCAAGAAAATTAATTAAACTAAATAATTAAAATAAATTAACAACTTACTTGAAATTTCGGAATTTTCGGAAAATCTGTGACAAAAAAAATTCAAATTCACTGCATTCCCTGCCTTACATCCTCTTAAAATTTTTTCTAAATGGTTTCTGACATTAAAATAGATAATCGTGAAGAGAAAAAAATTGCTTTCAAGGCAAAGAAACAATAATTTTGGTTTTAGTTGAAATTTCGTGATTTTTAGAAAATCCGTCACAAAAAAATAAGAACTAATGTTTCCCCATCATTTACATGAACAATTTTATTAAGAAAAATTTGTATCCTGAACTTTTCAGAGAAACATTTTTTCGTTGAATCAACATTGTTAACTTCAGTTTCAT